CTGTGGCCCATAGACATCTACATCTATTCTCGATTACGAATCAAAATGCAGATTCGTTGTCACCCGTGAGGACTAAGATGGAATGCCTCGTTTCCAGTAAAAAGGGTCTTCGGCTCTCTACACTTACCATACGAAACACAGCAACATTCAACTACTATTTTACGCTGTAAGAGCGTGGTCCTTACCTGGTCGAGCCGAAAATTATAATATATATGTGCGATTTAAAATGTACAGAAGTCCGAAGAGTACAATCTGCCACTTTGCCTGGCGTATGTGGACTATGAGAAAGCCTTTGATTCCGTCGAAATTTGGGCGGTGCTACAGTCTCTTCAGCGGTGCCTAGTTGACTGTCGGTATATTGAAGTGCTGAAGTGTTTGTACAGTAGGGCTACGATGGCTATCCGAGTACAGAACCAGAGTATGAAACCTATCCAACTGCAGAGAGGTGTAAGACAGGGTGATGTTATATCCCCGAAACTCTTCACCGCTGCGTTGGAAGACGTTTTCAAGCTACTGGACTGGAAAGGATACGGTATTAACATCAATGGCGAGTACATCACTCACCTTCGATTTGCCGACGATATAGTCCTTATGGCAGAATCGCTGGAGGACCTTAGCACTATACTCAATGACCTCAATGGTGTCTCCCAGCGGATAGGTCTTAAGATGAACATGGACAAAACAAAGATCATGTTTAATGTCCATGTCACACCTATGCCGGTAGTTGTTGGGAGCACTATGATCGAAGTTGTTGACGAGTACGTTTACCTGGGACAAATAGTCCGACTAGGTAAGTCCAACTTCGACCGAGAGGTCAATCGACGAATTCAACTCGGCTGGAAAGCGTTCGGGAAATTACGACACATCTTCTCGTCAGGTATACCTCAATCTCTGAAAACTAAAGTGTATAACCAGTGCGTGTTGCCAGTGATGACTTACGAATCTGAGACGTGGTCCTTCACCGCTGGCCGTATGAGGACGCTCAAGGTCGCTCAGCGACCTATGGAGAGGGCTATGCTCGGAGTTTCACTGCGTGATAGACTCAGAAATGAGGATATCCGCAGTAAAACCAGAGTGACCGACATAGCCCAACGGATTAGTAAGCTGAAGTGGCAGTGGGCCGGCCATATAGCTCGAATAACCGATAACCAATGGGGAAGAAAGGTTCTCGAGTGGCAGCCTCGTACCGGTAGGCGTAGTGTAGGGCGACCCCCCACTAGATGGAGTGACGACCTGGTAAGACATGCAGGAAGTCGATGGATGCAGGTGGCTCAGGACCGTGCTTTGTGGCATTACTTGGGGGAGGCCTATGCTCAGCAGTGGACTTGTGAAGGGCTGTAATGATGATGATGATGATGTGCGATTTTGGTTAATAACTTGTTGCCATCTTGTTAGCAATGACAAAAGAATGCAACAAGAAGTTTTGACGCCTATCTTGATGTTAACCTACTCGTACTACCCAAAGAATTCTGAAGAGACCGAAACAGGTGAAAATCTGAGGGCGCAAGGTCAGGACTATATGGTGGATGCATTAACACTTCCCAACCAAGCTATCTTAATTTTTGCTAACTGGCCAAAGATGTGTGTGGTCTGGCGTTATCATGTGAAAAGCCACTCTTTTTATCTTGATCAATTCCGACCGTTTTGTCTCAATTTCTTGCTTGAGTCTTATTAGTTGTTGGCAGTAAAGATCCGAACCGATGATTTTGCTCGGCGGTAAAGGATGACAATAAACGATGCCCTTCTAATCTCACCATACACACAGCAGCAACTTATTGCGGGTTTATCCGGGTTTCACTACATTCTGTGGAGCTTGACTACCCTTTGACCATGATATTTTTCGCACGTTCTTGTCATATGTGGCACGTCAAAAATGGCATCGACTTTATCCTTATGACCAGAGCGAGATGCATTTTTGGCATCAAAATTCCTGGACTGAATACGCTTGAACCAACTTTGTTCTCTACTCTTACTTTGCTACTATTACCCCGGCAATGCATGTTGGCCCCAGCCAACGCGAGCGTAGACAAATTGATACAAGGGGAGTGCTACAGTCTACATGTTGGTCAAATATGAAAGAGACTAATTCCAAGGCCAATGCTCACGAATTTTTGTAGAGCTATCCACATGTTGGCCGTAGTTAGGCGTCATTGAGAATTGGTATGATGTGGATGACGTAAAAATGATTTCAGCTTTTGCTATTTATTTAATAAGTGCATATAATTATTATGTCAGTGTACTCCGCAGTAGAGTTAAAAAATTTAAAGTTTTCCTCGTTAGTATAGTGAAATTGTCTAAATTATTCAAAAGTTGCAACTTAATTAAAACAATATCTCACCGGGACGGACGCCAAGCCGTAACTGACATAGGTGACTAACATGTGGATGCGACTTGCCGAGTGTAGGCGAGCGCCTTTGATTTGTGCAGAAAAACCGACACTGTTCCGAAGTGGACGAGTCGTAGCGAGCGATCCCGAGTGGCGGCAAGGCACGCCAAACGAACCGAATACACGTTGGTGCTCGCCTGCACTCGGCCAGCTACGCGAGGGTCGACAAGCAATGGCGAGGCTGGACAAATAGGCTGTCTATACGTTGGTGCTCGCCTTCCCTCGGCCAACATGTATAGCCGGCTTTACTGACACTACATTAGGTCCATAAACGTTACAATTTTTTTTCGCGGCTTTAGTCGTATTTTTTCCTTTTTTGTTATTACATTTCAGAATGTATCGAATTTTTTCGCTAGATTCCATTGAAGTAATATTTACTTACGTACTAGAACAGCTATCTCAAACAACAAATGTGCGCTACTCTGTGTTCGCGCCGTTGTTTTTTTATCATAGAATAAATATAGGTAGAATGATCCGTAGGTAATAGTAGATTGTATTGTTAAATAGGTAAATTATATCGAGAACAATATTTAAAGTTTGTCATTTATTTTGTATTTTATATTTGCTTATTTAATATAATATTACATAAAATTATATCACAATTATATTTTAATGATATTTTTATCTGAATATTTTAAAAGGTATCCATGTCAAATATAAAAACCTACTAAATGTACGTTTAACAAAACTTATTAACATAACATTTAAATTACAAATATATTTATTTAAATTAGAATAAGAGTCGTTCATAAATGCTGGGCACACGAGAGTTAAAAATGGACGAATTTATTCCACTTTGACTTTGATGTGGAAACCTAAAGATAAAATAAAATAATAATAAGCAGATTTAAACATGAAAAATTTAGCCTAATTATCATAACTTATATATGTTTCTACAAAAAATGTGTATATTAATATATTCGTCCTATACTTAAGTACCTACAGAAATGTCGCATCTGAACATATTAATTTCATAATCTACAATGTGTCCGGTTTCCGATGTCCGATACTTTAAGGGGTTAAAATATAATTAATTTTATCGACAAATCAGGGATCAATATTCCATGACACGAGATTGCGTCTTAGGAATAATTTGTATTATTATTAATCTATAATACTTTTTTATTGATTAAGTATCTTATTAACCGATGAAAAGTAATTCCTTGGTTTTTACTGACATTTATTGAATTATTTGTGCCATATCTAAGTACACACGACGGCATATTTTTATCAAGAGATTTTTTTTAAATCAACACAACACGTGACAACTCTACAAGCGCCTAGCGAGTGACTGATTAAACTGCGGTGTATGCACCGCAGTTGACTGGAACAGAGTAGCTGAATGCAGTGTCGCCTCTAGTACGTAGTACATAATAGCTCAATGTTAGATTCACTCATTTTGGCGGACAGAAATACAATTGATAAATGACAGGAAAGTTTTGTTTTATTTTTATTTTTCTTAATATACATAGGTCATTACATGTATTGATATTAAAACCAGCCAGATACAAACAGTACAACCGAAGAGATTTTCTTCAATTTTATACAAACAAAATACGAAGAAACTTTTTCCCTGACCTATTAACCTAAGATAAACTCCGACCCGATCTCTAGTGGAGTTCCTCAGTCGCATGGTTTGGTTTCTTATTTTCTATTGATATGTGACATCACGCGGAACACTTGCTTTATATGGTTAAAAAAATATTTATGATCAACCCTTTTTGTCATTGACCAAAAATCGAATCTTTATACAGACGAATTTATTTGTATTTGCAATACATTAGTAAATATTGTTTTGTCAAGATCACGCCAATAACTGATTTTAATCGACTCGATAGCAACTGAGATGATGTCATATAACAGTGTTCTTTTACAAACACAATTAGTGGATTTATTTTGATTAGATATATGGTATGGTATAATAAGATAGATGGATTTGACATGCTTTTCCGTTAGTCTGATATATTTAATGCGGTCTGTTAGCTCAACATTTGTTGAATCTAATATAATGTAGTGGATTTATGCAAAATTAAGAGTTTCTTTTTAAAATGCTTTCTAATTGTTTGTATAAAGTATTTAAATAAGTTAGAAAAATATTTTGATATTACTTTTACATTAGGTGTTTGGTGAATCTTTATATGACGCTCAGATCAGGCACAGGCTTCGTCTAATTGAAAGAGTACACGAGTGCATAAAGTCCGAACAACTGTTTGAGTGGTTTAAAAAATAGTTATGTGCATTGCATAAGAAATAAAATATGTTAAGTATAAAACTATAATATTACAATAAGCAACAATATAATTTTGAATAGATATATATCATAGAATAGAACCATAAGTATCTAACCATAACTAAAGTAAGTAAAGTAAAGTTACAGCCTATATACGTCCCACTGCTGGGCTCAGGCCTCCCCTCATTTATGAGAGGGTTTTAGCGCAAGGAAGAGTCCTCCGCGCTGCCCCAATGCGTGTTGGCAAACTTCAAAATATTTTTTTCTTATTCCTCAGACATGCAGGTTTCCTCACGATGTTTTCCTTCACCGTCGAGCCCGTAGTAAATTAATATAATTTATATAATTTTGATTAAATATAAATGATATCTTACAAGAACTTACACAATCATATGATAGAGGACAGCCTTCGCACCCCTAGGCCGTTCAAGGAAGTTGTAGAACTTTGATTGGAGGCGTCTGTATCGCGCGTCGCGTCGCGTGGCGCGGTAACTGAGCGGCTTGCCCAGTAGCGACATCCGCGGCGTCGCCAGACGGTCGCCGCCACGCTTACTCTCACTGCAACGAAAGATAAACCCAATTGGTTTCGCTAATAACGAAAAAAGCGATAGATACACTGTCCCGGTCGCGTTAAGAAACATAACTAATTTTGTGAATATACACAAAAGGAAACACTGCATTAATTTAAAACGTTTTTTTTTAGATATTCTGTGATTATTTTCACAAGAAATCCATAACATGAACTGCCCTATATTAATTATTCAGTTCAAAACTGCGCTTTGGCATATATATAACGAGTCCACCAACAAATTTATGGTTAATAATATTTTAATCAGCATTTGGCACGACCAAATACAAACGCACGCAACCAACCGGTGAGTAAACAATTTTCGTTGACGGATTTGATTCCGCATCTGTTCGCAGTATCAGTGTTTAATGTTCTCGTTTGAAAGCAATAATTTTGTAACATTTCGGCACATGTCTGCGAAACAAACTGGAAATCCATTGGAAAATATATAGTAGCATTCTTACCGACGCAAAAGCTGTAAGTTTTTTATTGTCTATACAAATGAAGAATTAAAAGACCAATCCAATTTCACCGATGGATATGTTATCTCACAAATTAAATATACATATAACTAACTCCAGTCTCATACAGGGAATTTATGGACTGAAAAATAATAAAAATATAAATATTTACTTTGCAACCATCCGTTCAATAATAATTGCAAAGTTACTATTAATATCTTTAAAGTAAGTAAAGTAAAGTTACAGCCTATATACGTCCCACTGCTGGGCTCAGGCCTCCCCTCATTTCTGAGAGGGTTTAGGGCAAGGAAGTGTCCGCCGCGCTGCCCAAATGCGTGTTGACGAACTTCACATGTCTTCGAAATATTTTTTTTCTTATTCCTCAGACATGCAGGTTTCCTCACGATGTTTTCCTTCACCGCCGAGCACGTGGTAAATCAGCACTTAAAATTGCAATTAACAATTTCATTGGTGCCGGCGGGGATCGAACCCGGGTTACTCGCGTTCTGTTATATTTACAGCGAGCGTTAACCACTGAGCTACGCCCGATTCTATTAATGACTGAAAAGTGTTAAATCTGTTTTAGCCCGTACACGGGATTCGAACCCAAGACCAAATGATAAGCAATCGCACTCAAGATCTCAACCTTGGTTTGATTGCTCCTGTAAGACTGCATTACGCAGTAAGCAGGAGTGTTATCAGACCTGGATGACTCGGCGGTCCGGGGTGTAAACACCAGCAAGCTTAAAAAGAAGTATAACTTTGCCTATAGGTCCTTCGAAAGAGTTATTGCCACGGCAAAGTATGAGCACGTTATCAGAATTGGCAAGAAATTAGTTGAACTTCCTTCGGGAACCCGTGCATTTTAGGCTCTCGTCAAGGCTATCCAAGGGAATTTCTTTAAGCCATCACTAACATCTCTGCACTGGGAGAATGGCACACTGGAAAACGCCGCAAAAAAGAAAGCGGATTTTTAGGCTCTCTTCTTGCGTCCAACTAGGCGTAGTCCCGAGATCACGGAAGACAGCTTACGTGCAACTGATCCCTAGAAAAGGTAATCATTCTGATCCGTCCAACCACAGGCCTATCGACATCAACTCCTTGTTCTCCAATCATGGCTCATGGCGTACCTTGAAGAGCACCAGCTGATTAGTGACTGCCACTACGATTTTCGTTGGGGTCGCTGGGCTGGTGATCTTCTTTTTATCTAACATATCGATGGGCACAAGTGATCCAGTCCAAGGGGGAGGTTTTGGTAGTTAGTTTAGACATAGCGAAGGATTTCGATCGGGTTTGGTACAAAGCGCTTCTCTCGATACTTCCTTCTTATGGACTTCCCGAGAAATTTCAATTGAATCACCAATTTTCTGGCTGATGGGGACATCAAGTTCGTAGTAGGCAGTGCATGCTATGATTACAAGCCAATTAAGGCTGGTGTTCCACAAGGCTGCGTGCTATCACCAACGCTGTTTCTTCTGCATATCACTGATTTGTTTTAAACTGGTAGCACTCATTGCTATGCGGACGACAGCACTGGTGATGCTTTATACACCAGCCGTGCCATTATTTTTCAGTAAAACGTAACCGAATACCGGAACAAACTTGTGCCTGAAGTCGAGACATTGTTGAACAAAGTCTCGGATTAGAAGCGACCAAATCTAGTCCAATTCAATCTCCAGAAGACACAAGTTTGCGCGTTCACCGATAAAAAGAACCCCTTTGTTGTATCTCCTCAGTTTCAGAGCACTCCCCTTGTTGCCTCAGCTGATATTGGAATCCTCGGCGTCGACATATCAAATGACGTGCAGTTTCGTGGTCACTTGTAAGAGAAGGCCAAACTGGCCTCTTTAAAGCTTGGCGTGCACAGTAGAGCGGGACAGTATTACACACCGCCTGCAACTTTTTAAGATGCAGGTTCGGCCTTACATGGAATACTGATCCCATATCTGGGCTGGCGCTTCCCAATACCAGCTCCATCCCTTTGGCCGCATCCAGTGTAGAGTGGTTCGAATCGTCGGCGACCGAGCACTTTTTGATCGGCTTGACTCATTGGCGCTGCGAAGAGATCTCTTTGCGTCGATTCGTCGTTCGTCTCGCGATCGTATTTACCACGGGTAATGCTCAGAGGAATTGTTCGGATGAATTCCAGCCGCTTAATTTCACCATCGCACATCGCGATAGAACTCGAGATGGCATCCTTACCACCTGGATGATTGGTGGTCCCCTACTGTGAGATTTTCCAGAAGTTTTCTTCCACGCATTACTTCTTTGTGGAATTGTCTTTTGATTTTTCCGGACCGACACAACTTAGGGAGGTTGCAGTTGTTTATAGGCGGCGGTAGTCACTTGCCATCAGGTGAGCCGCATGTTCGTTTGCCCCCTCTCATAAAAAAACTCACGATGCCATGAAGCAGAAAAAAAAGAAACAGATATTAGTTGTTGTTGATAGATGTTGATAGGATTTGTTTTCAATTTACGTAAATACGACCATATCTTTGCGTATCATAATTAATAGCTCACTATACGTCGAAGTCGTTGCTCCAGAACGTTATTAACTCTTTTAACCTTCTCAAAGGATTCTGCCTCTATACCCCCATGGACTAAATGAACACAAAAGTCTTGATGAACACAAAGTTTTTTTAATTTCATTGCTATTTGCATTTTTTCCTATCTGGAAAAATTTGCCAAACTTTGAATTTCAGTTCAATATTCGTTGTTTTTTATGTTTACCTTGACTGCCTTCATTATCGTGTTAAGTGTGAATTTTTACTGCAAATAAACTGAGAATGCCACATCTAAATGCCACTCGATTTGCTAAGGTTGTTAATTTAATTAAAACTGGGCACACTACAAACATGTGCCCCAAACATTACGAGTATAAAATGTATTACACCGAGTTATCAAGAAGTATTAGCAGGCCGGACAGTATACCAGACTCGCAAGACAGTGACGTAAATGAAAAACTGTGGCGAGAGATGATCAGTTCATTGTTACCCGTGTGCTTAAAAACCGGACCTTAACTTCTTCTGAGGTCAGATGTTGGAAAGATTAAAGTATGGAGACGCCCGGGAGAGAAGTACGCTCAGTGCAACATTATTGGAAAAGACATGGACTCTATAATATGGTCAGTTACGGTATGGGGAGATATTTGTATGGGGGGGCACGTGTGAAACTCCGAGGCATTGAAGAAATTTTAGTGCCATTTGCCGTTTTATAGGAAATATATTTGTTTTTAGGTATATAGGATAATACATGCCTCATTACTGTGGCCGTAGTTGTAGAATACCTTCGTGACGTTGAAATTTATGCTATGGAGTGCCCAGCGCGCTCGCCTGACTTAAACCCCATGCAGCATGAATGGCATAAGCTTGGAAGACAAATTAAGAAAAGAAATCCTGCCCCCGCTTATTTGAGAGATCTTAAAACCGCGTTACGGAAAGAATGGAACGCAATCCCTTAAGATTTTGTTGATAACTTGATCAGGAGTATGTTAAAAACATTGAAAGCAATCCAAAAAGCTAGAGGGGGGAACACTAAGTACTTATTATATAAAACATTTATGAAAAAAAATTATAAAATGTTAAGTACAGAAATGTTTTATTTCTGTAAATATTTCTTTTATTCTTAATTTGGTAAATTTTTGTCATTTGATCGTTAGTTTTTCCACGTTTGCAGTTTGAAATTAACGAATAATATACAAATAAAGAATCTCTTATGGGCTTCGAGTGTTAGCAGAACTATACACCCTATAAAAAGTTTTAAAAATAAGCAAAACGACGCAATAGCGGACAGATGAAACGCACCAATTGCAAATTTGCCTATAATGTGTGACGTTGTCTATAAAGCTTTCAGTTGTAAGAACGTTTTGTGGTAGAATCTTTTCCGTCTTATTATAATAATGACAAATTTGATTTAAAAAAAATGGTATTGGTGAAATTTACTCTGCCCACATTATCAACTTCCCATCTGATGTCTAATAAATACATTTTTTTAAAATATCAAAACTGATTTTATTAAAAATTTTATCACGTTTCCATTATGCAAATAAGCTAAGAATGAAACTGGCCGATACACACGCAGAAAATTTATTAATATTAATATTTTTAATATATTAATATTTTATGTATGTAATATTTTATGTTGAACAAGGACTTTCAAATACCGGATCCGTTACAAAAATTCTAAAATAGGAAGTTAACAAATAACACGCTTTACGTGTCAAATGAAACGTTTCAGCTATTTCAATAACATAACCAATATGCTATATTGTAATTTGTATAAAACCATATACTGACGAGGCGACAACCTTTTTTCTATGTTACGTTAAATTCTTGAGCATTACCCACGTGATCTTCGTGTATATAGGTTCTTCATTTAAACAATTACCGTATTATTACAGCCTATTAAAGTCCACTGCTGAACATAGACCTCCCCCATAGATTGCCTCATAGGAGAATACTTTCCATAGTTGCCAAGCTTGGCAAGCGGGTTGGCACCGCAGTTTTTTATTTTAGTCGTTATTAAGAAGACGCTGCTCATTTCCTGATTAGTTTCCCTCTGCCGCCTCTTACAATACCCACAGGATAATATGAGGTAGTGGATATTCTTACACCGTCACTACACGGCTCATTGCACGTTATTTCATATGCGTTACTTCATTTACACATTAAGTGCTAATGCCTAAATTAAAAAAGTTAATAAATAAACAATTTTCCTTTTTGTTTCAACAAATAAACAAAATGTATTTCTTTCTTTTAGCGTCGTAGCACATGTAGGCTATCCGCTAGTAGAATAATAAATAAGGAAGTAATCAAGGTAGAATAATAAATAAGGAATCAAGGAAGTGTTAAATTTCTAAATAATTTATGAAAATGTCATCTGTCAA